TTTTTTTTTTTTTTTTTTTTTTTTTTCAACTAGGTAACGAAACAGATAACTTTTTTACTCGAGTTAAGTGATTATTCCATACTATTGGATTTAGCTCGTACCCTTTTGTTTTTGGGTTAATGCTAATGAGAGCAACTCAGAAATGACGTATTCTTGCGATACAGCTCGAGGATATTTGTTACGTGGACCTGTTTATATAAACTAGCTCCCACGAGTCTCCAGTCTATCTCAGTATTAAAAAGTCCAACCGGTCATAGCCGGAACTCCTGTTGAGAAGACTTGGAATTGTTCTCCGAAAAGATTGTGTCACGTACTGACTAACATGTTTCTTATATTGAAGAGTACCGTAGTGACAATGAGTTCAAACTCACGGGCAAGGCGAGTAGAGACAGCCGTGGACGCAACACTATATGGACTGTTGCCTCTGTCGTTAGTAGCCATGATCCTGAACGTGTAAGTCTCTCCTGGAATAAGACCTTCCACTTTAAGGCTCCGTGAACTGTGAGGAACGTTTGGAGAGTACACCTGCCAGCCCTCGCCATTTTTGTTCAGCTGCAACGTGAAGAACCTCAAGGGACTTTTAACATCCGAAGTGGCTTGCCATTTAACGATTATCCACCGCTCGCTGATGTCCGAAAAATATATCGGCAGAATGAATGGCGTATCTGGGGGTTCTGTGGCGGAAAGAGGAAAACAACCATTACATTCACGACCATGAATAAAAGGAACTTTCCAAAGCAATAAACCGCCGTACAACTTTATGGTTAGGAAAGAAGTTACTGTAATTTATTCTCTTACAGAAACCATTTTAACAACCTGTTAAGCAAAGGGTTAGAAAGAGAATAAGCACATTTACATATTTACAACATACTGCAGTTATCCACTAAAGTAAGTACGCCTAGACGATAGAATGGGTAGAAGTAGAGAAGCGCTCTACACGCTCAGTACATTTAAATATTGATATCGCAGTGCAGTGAGTTACATTCATGCAATGCTTATTTTCGGTGTATCAGCGGGCTACGTTTAAGTAACCTAAATTCTAGCATGAGTTTTCGCAAAAGCAAGGGTGTGTGACTACCACACAGAAATAGTTCTGAAGCAAGTAGCCGGAACGTACAAAGTGTGAAAGATCGCTTACTGGAGGTCCTCCATTTCAAAAGTGTACGTGTAACCTTTACTTGCCTGTTGAGCCTCCGGTATATACAACAACTTCTGCGGGCGGGTCGCTCCAGCTGGTGTTTGTGCCGGCCCATACGAAGAAACGATAAAACGACTGAGCATTCAGCCCCCCAGCAGTTCTTTGCCGTTCATTACGGCCGAGTAAGCTTTGCCATATAAAACCAGACGACGTTGAATTAAAACGGTACGCCACTCTATATCTCGTTATCACACCACGGGGGTAGACTGGTGGGTCCCACGCTATCGTCACGGACGTCCTGCTAACGTTTGTAAAATGGACGCGAGAAGGAGGACCTGGGCCTGAACAGAGCACGAGCGGGTTAGGGAACGTACATTTTTTTACCCGTGACAAGCAGGGGTTTGAGGAGGGGTCGAGGAAAGAGAGGGAGTTTGCTAGTCCGCGGTTTACCATTTACCCAAAAAATCCGCAAATTTTAGTCAGAATGTAAA